GGTGCAATCTCTATGAACATTTCTCAAAATACGAATAATTAAACTGGAGCAAAAATACAGTGGAATGCCCTTGCCTTGCATGTGGTCTAAATAAGTTTGATCCCCACCACCACGTGGTCCCAAGCACTGCCAGGAGAGACACCAGAGACAAAAGTGGGTCCTAAGCAACATTGGGGGTATGGCTCAACCCCCTATCCCCCCAAAAATAAAAAATTGAGCAACTATAATACTTCCTCTCTGTGGGCATCACTGAAGGGGAATAACCAAAATGAAGCTTAATTTATTTGTGACTTTTGACCACAGTAAGAACCATAGAAGTGTTTTCAAAGCAACTTTCCCCATTTGCAGGAGGATGATGTCCTCCCCTCTTTTCAAACATACAAAATATCCCATCTTCAGCGAAAAAAATTCAGTGGATGGAGAAGTAATAGCAGTCCTTCTGGGCACCTGCCCCAGCAAGGTGGTATTACTAGATTAAAGCTGGACAAGACTGCAAAAAGATCCTTGAAGGCAAAACCAAATCTGGCCAAGTAGGAAAGGGAAAGGGCAAACATAAGAAATTATTGAGGGCTGGAGCAATAGCACAGCGGGTAGGGCATTTGCCTTGAACGCGGCCGACCCGGGTTCGATTCCCAGCATCCTATATGGTCCCCTGAGCACCACCAGGGGTAATTCCTGAGTGCAGAGCCGGAGTAACCCCTGTGCATTGCCAGGTGTGACCCAAAAAGCAAAATAAAAAAAGAAGAAAAGAAACTTTTGAGAACATGTTGCCATAAATTTTTCTTACATGCAGCTTGAATTATAAACTGTAAAATGAGGAACTGGGAACATGGTACATTAGGTAAGGTGCTTGCCTTGCATGTGACTGACTGTGATCCCCAGTACCTCTGAGTATAGCCAGGAATGATCCCTGAGCACAGAACCAGGAGTAGTCCCCGAGAACTGCCAGGTGTGCACCCCAACAAAACAAAAACCTGCAAAATGAACAAAAAAAAATCGATGATCCCCTGTAAAATCCTATAACGACGAAGGTTGTGAGTTCACGGGCTCACTGGATGGCACTGTCTCACCGCCTGCGTTCAGTGCTCTTGAGCCGCTGTGTGTGGCCTGAATCGGAACGGCTGTTGGCCAAGGGCAGACGGAAGAAGAAACAAGGGCCAGGCCAGTCTATGTCAATAGTAATTTATTCCAATCCTCTTCACTCCTGTCTTTCTCTGCCTCTTTCTCTCCTTGGCCCCAATCTTGGAACCTCTCTCCTTCTGGCTCTGACTCTGGATCTCTGGAGCCCGAGCTCTCTCGCTTCTGACTTTCTCTCCGAGCTTACGTCTTAGTTTATATAGCAGTCACATAAGGCGGTGACATAAAGGTGGGTTGAATACTGACGAATCAACAAAGAGAGGTAAAACCACTCCTCCAGGAGATTAACTCAAGGATAAAATCTCATCTACAGAGATTACTTCAGATTACTAGGAGATCCGCTCAAGGGTGGGATCCCAACAAGGGTGTGTTCTTCCCTCAGTTAGTAATCTACTTAAATAGTTGTAATAAATCTGCTTCTAATATTTCTAGCAATGTCATTCTGTATGAGCACAGTAAGAGATATAAATTTAGTTTGGTTCTTCCTGAGAACATCTCACTATACATTTCACAGTCCTCAGGCCAGGTTAATCTTCCTAGCTCCAGCAGGGTCCTAGTCTCGTCGTTACTTACTTTTGGACCATGACAGCATTTGTCCATGATCATGCCCTCAACTTATAGTTGAGTATCGTGGTTCTTTGGCCTGGCCCATTTCAATGCCAGGGTAGCTCACCGCTTGCCCTGGGTCCATTCAGTCCCTCGTCGGGACCCTGCTTTTGGGGTGCTAGGAACTAAAGGCAACTGAGTCAAGAAATCATATGCCCAGTAGTATATTATTCGAAGTTAATCAACTCCCAAGTTACAAAGCACAATATTAACTGTCTTCCTGTGTCCACACAGAAAGGACATTGCTTACAAGTCCTTAGATGGGTGTGACCTGACAAACCGAAGCTACCTAAGGAAGGACAAAATAGTGTTATCCTACAATCCCCCAATCCAACCTCTAGCCCTCTCTCCAAAGAAGAGAAAAACTCTAATTTGAAAAGATATATGCTCGCTTGTATTCACTGCAACACTATTTGCAATATCCAAGATAGGGCAACAATCCAATCTCCCAGTAGATGAGTGAATAAGAAAACATGGCATGAACTTCCAGAGAAGCAGCAGAATGTATGTTGGTCAGGGAAGCTCCCCACTAAAGTACAATCAGAACTATCAACAAAGAAAAAAGCCCTTAGTGGCTCATACCCTGGTTTGTCTGAGAGACATTTGTATCCTATGTCTGAAGCCGGGTGAATGAGGCATGAAATTGAGAGAATGAGGGGTGGGAGGTGGGAGTGGGGAGTATGTGGAATCAATCAGTGAAGACCTTTCTAAAGTGTCAAGGTTCGTGCTGGGCACAATTAACTGTAGGCACACCCGACCCTACTAAGGGAGGCTGAGATGACGGAAGTAGTAACTTGTAACATCAGTGACTTTCCAAACAGGTAAAAGACTGTGCAGCTAGCATAAATCATGCTCTCAGAAAAACAAAACAAACAAAAAAACAACCTGAGTCCCGGTACTGTAGGTAGCTGGAGCTGGATCACCCAGTTCCCTTCCACTCTCATTCAGGAAACAGTGCAGCTGATCAGACCACACTTCTGAGCTAGAGAACTGTAATACAGACTTTCAGCACAAATAGAGGCAAGGTTGCAGAGGGAAGGCGCGGAGTGTGGCGCTACCCCACTGATTGTTTCCTTCCCACCCCACTTTTAGCACAGCAGTAGGGCGTTTGCCTTGCACGTAGCCAACATGGTCGACCCGAGTTCGATTCCTCCGCCCGGCAAGCTACCGAGAGTATTCGATATGCCAGACACAGTAACAACAAAGTCTCCAATGGAGACGTTACTGGGCCCGCTCGAGCAAATCGACGATCGACGGGAGGGCCTTTACCTTTACCTTACCTTTTACCACTTCCCTTTTAGTAAGAGTTTTCTATCGCATCGTCTCTATCATTCTCCCATTCCCCTTCAGTCGTAAAAACAAAGGAAAACTCCAACACTAAAGCCACAGTGCCATCTGCAGGAAAATAAAAGAAATTAACCCAGGTAAATAAGCAGAAAAATTCTGCCTGCAATTGTTGGGGGGTGAGGGGGTGGGAGGTTGGGGGGTAGTAATGGAATTAATTCTCAAGGAAAAGGACAAGTCTCCAGAAAGTAAATTTAAAGACATGGAATTAGAGGAGAGTACAGGCAAATACTTGAGAAGTTGCATCACAATAAAATTTGATTTTTAAGTGAACACAAAGCACATTCAGGTGTGATTCCTGTGCACAGAGCAAATAACAGTTCCTGAGCACTTCCAGCAGGGAGGGGAGAGAGAGAGAGAGAGAGAGAGAGAGAGAGAGAGAGAGAGAGAAAATAAAATTCAAAAGGGAAAAAAAGAATAAAAGGTAAAGAAATAGGGCTGGAGTGATAGCACAGCGGTAGGGCATTTGCCTTGCGTACAGCCGGCCCAGCCGAGCTGGGTTCGATTTTTCTATCCCTCTTGGAGAGCCGGGAAAGCTACCTAGAGTATCTAGCCCGCACGGCAAAGCCTGGCAAGCTACCCATGACGTATTCAATATGCCAAACACAGTAACAACATGTCTCACAATGGAGACGTTACTGGGCCTGCTCGAGCAAATTGAAAGGAATAGAAAAGAAGAGAAAATGAAAGACACCAACCTGAATCCTGATTCTATTCTATTGATGGCCATACTCTACAGTCAATGTGCTTCACTGGTTAATCTGCCCCTACTTTCAGGTAATCATCACTAAAACGGGGTCTGAGCCACAAACTCCTGTAACCTTCCATCACTTATCCTAGATCTGACCTCTATGGCTTTTAACAACAGAGAGAAAACCAGTATTACCAGCCATGACTTCTACCAGTAATCTTGGTATTTGCTCTTTGTCCTCTTAACCTAATTACCAAATTTGTTTGCTCTCACCGCAACCTCCTGCTTGTGGTTCAGCAACCAAAAATTTAGGTCTACCAGCCCCAATTTTTTTGTATGATTATCTCTGTCTGGTAGGAAGCGCTCTATGTCCTTGATTAGCTGGGAGAAATTTCAGCAGAAGGACCATTTCATTGAGATTTTCTTTGGGGCCTCTTCGGGACATGCTGTGGGTGTATTTTAAATATAAATCATATATCTTATTTATATTTATTCATCACAATGATGGAGACATTACTGGGCCTGCTCGAGCAAATCGATGAACTACAGGAGGACAGTGCAGTGCAGTGCATTATATATAATATTTACATACATATGTGTACATACATATATATGTATATATGTTTGGGCCACACCTGGTGGTGCTCAGGACTTACTCCTGGCTCTGTGCTCAGGCATCACTTCTGGCAGGGCTGGGGGACCACATGTGCTGACAGGGGTAGGCTGCGTTGAAGGCAAATGCTCTACCCACTGTACCTTCAGGACTCCGAAGCATTTGAGCACAGTTGTGCAGACTGGATGATCACAGGCACATCCAGTTCTCAGAACATTTTGCTACTTTGGTCACAGTGAACATCATCTTCTGAAGAAATTACGTCAGGACATCATGCTGCAGAATCGTTACAAATAAAGGACTTCTCGCAAAATCTCTAAAAACTGGCTCAACACACCTGGGAGGGGCGTGAGGCAATCGGGGACGTGTCTGAGGATGACTTTCTTTTCAACCAAGTAAGCTCTTGATATCAAGAGAATAAGCCAACTTGAGGGCGATGTTGATGGTTTGGGGACCGAGACCGTATTTGAGAACAAAAAAGATTTTTCTGGTGTCAAAAATTAAAGGGATTAAGAGGGTATAAAGGAAGTGCCAGGCGCTGGAGCTCTGGGAGCGCTTCTGGACCCACGACTCAAAGCCTGTACGATGATTACTGAGCCGCCAGGGGGCGATGTCTGTGGAGGATCATGTATCCCATAGGTCCTCGCGCCAGGGCGGAAGACGCGCGGAGTGACTCTCTGGCTCGCACGCCTCCACTCTCCTCTCCCGACTGACGTTGGACAACAAAGATGGCGGCAGGAACTAGCAATTATTGGGAAGGTGAGGACGAGGCCTCCGGGCGGGTCCAGGCGGCTGGCGGACGGTTGAATGAAGTTCGGGTCTTGGGGGAGGCAACAGAGGGGAGAGTCTGACCTTTCGAGCCAAGTTGAGGGGCGGGCCTTGTCCCTTACAAGCCCGGGAGCTGAGGGCTGAGAAAACTGAGCGGCCGGGGCAGGGGGCGGATCCGCGGCCCGGGTCGAGGGGCTGGGGGGCGGCGGGCGGAGCCCGGCGGGCGCCGGGGGCCCCAGGAGGCTGCGACGGTGGTGGAGGGGGCTCCTGATCGGGGGGCTCTTGGCGGAAATGACTGTTGAGCCGCGGAGAGCGGAGCATCAGCGCCGTGGAGTCGAGGTCACTGTGGGAAAAGAGAAAGCCGGAACTGTGTGTCCGGCTCGTCGAGGGAGGAGGGTCCCCGGCGCCCGCGGGGACCCGAGCACCGGCCGGCCCGGCGCTCGGGAAGGCTGAGGACAGGATTTCCCCCCCTTCTGCTCTGGAGCTCGAGTGTGTCCAGAGGCGAAGGCGAGAGGACCGGGATGAACTGTAATCCCCGCAGACCCCGCTGTGGTTTGGCTACTTGGTCTGGGCTTATTTCGTCCCCGATCGTGCGGTCCGGTCGAGTGCGCGCCAGCAATCGAAGCCCGGAGGCTTCTGTGTTTCTTGGAGCTCGCCTTGCCCCGTCGCAACAGAGAAACTACTTTCAGCACCCTTCCCCCCCCTTTTTAAGATTTGTTTCCTGTGACTTCCGTCCGAAGCCTTCCCCCTGGAAACCATCACAGAGAACGGCAGCTTTGTCGCTGTCACCTTAATTCTAAAGTCCTTCGTACGTGCCTGTCATACTTGGCAAAATGCTTCTTCCTTGCTGTTCTCTATCAAGAAGACAGTTAACTGATGGCAGGACAGCATGCGTTTGGTTTAAAGTGTATTAAAGTGCCTGTTGGAAATAGGCATTTCAGCTAGAAAATATTTTACTACTTGTCATTAGCTTATGGTGTTTTTTTTTTGAACCACCTTGTAATAATTATAGCCGTTTTGTTGATACCTTTTACTCTGTGCCAGGTGGTTTTAAACACGTCGTCTTTCAATGCATAGGAAGTCCCTAGAGATTTTTTTGTGCAACATGAGGTTTTGGAAAACAAAAAACTTAGACTCAGAGATTAGTTTGTTAAGAAAATGAAAGTGCCAGTTTTCAGACTTTCAGAACCTTAGACTGGATTGGAATTCCGAGATTTGGTCTCTGGGCGAATACTCCACTGTATTTTTCAGCTTCCTACTTCTGGTTGTTGATAGTATGTTGTTGAGAGAATACGTTTCTCTTTTCTGGAAAGATAAGATCCTTACACCATTTCTCTTCTCTTTTGCTGTGAGAGTATTTCCATGTGGGTTTTTAGACTGGGTCAGCCTTAGATGCCAGCTACACCACTCATTTGGCTTGCTCCTTTGTTTCTGCCCCTTTAAGACTGTGCTTTCGTGTATGTTAAATTTCTGTGCTTCATTTGGCCTCTCTAGGAGCACATTTATTGTTTCAGACTCTTCAATTTTGTTGTGGCTTATTGGCTGTTTAAAAAAATCTCAGTCAATTACTTTTTGGTTACTCTCAGTCACTAAGATATGCTTGAATAAGAAAAGAATTTCAAGGGCTGGAGCATTAGTACAGTGGCTAGACCGCTTGCCTTGCCTGCGACCCACAGGGTTCAATCCCTGGCATCCCCCCTCCTGCACCTCCCTCCATCCCCCAGGAATTTCTGGGTGTATGCAGAGCCATGGGTAATCCTTGAACATACCTAGGTGTGGTCCAGAAAACAAGCAAAAAAAGAAAGGGGGAAAATGAATTTTGTAAGACTAATAAAACTTGGAGCATAATGAGATAGAAAAATCCCTGTCAAAGCAGTTTTAGTTTTACTTTTATAAAGTTGTGAAATTGATAAAATGCTGGATAAACCATATTCAGTTCCTTTACAGTCTCTTCTTCCTTCTTTCAAGTTATAAAATTTTGGTTACTGCTTAGAAATAATTTCATGGGTGGTAGGAATTTTGTTGTCAAGTTGTCTTTTGGGTGAAGCTAAAATTTTGCATTTCCCACTGTTTATTCCCTTGTCCTATCTGAAGCTTGATTGATAGTTTATTTTCTTGGATAAGTCTTTGGCTTCCTCATAATAGTTCTCCTTATGGGGGAGGGGCACAACTAGATCAGTATGTGATGATTTGCATAGCTTTCTTGAAAGTTTTGTGATGTTCATGTCTACCGATGAACTTTTGTGTCTAATTATTTGCTTTTGTAATTTTGTTAAAAGATCTCAGGAAACAGGCTCGACAGTTGGAAAATGAACTTGACCTGAAACTAGTTTCCTTCAGTAAACTATGTACAAGTTACAGCCACAGCAGTGCCCGAGATGGAAGACGCGACAGGTATAGGTACTACCAGATTCTATCTTTTTATGTCTTATGCTACTTTTAATTTTTAGGCTGTGCTGAGAATGCAGAACCCTGGGACTCCTACACATGAAGCTGTGCTCTGCTTCTCAGCCAGCCACATTCTTAAAAGTTTTAGAACCTTTTAAGTATTAAAAACAAAGCAAGTATATAAAACTCCAAACTTAGTCATTTGGTAAAATTGGTGGGGTGTTTTTTTTTTCTTTCAGTCCTTGTTAGTTTTTGTTGTTGTTACTTTTTTATTTTATTTATTTATTTGCTTTTTGGGTCACACCTGGCGATGCACAGGGGCTACTCCTGGTTCTGCACTCAGGAATTACCCCTTGCAGTACTCAGGGGACCACATGGGATGCTGGGAATCGAACCCGGGTCGGCAGCGTGCAAGGCAAACGCCCTACCTGCTGTGCTATTGCCCCAGCCCCTGTTGTTATTTTTTGGACCACACCTGATGACGTGCTTAGGGTCCTCTCCCAGGGGTGAATGGGGGACCTTGTAGTGCCAGGAGTAGAACCCAGGCCTCTAGCGTGCAGAGCCCGCACTCAGCCTCTTGAGCTGTCTTTCTCGCCCAGTGTTTAGTGTTTTATTTTCTTTGTTAATGATCAACTTATCTTTTAGTCATTTGTAACATTTTTTTCCTAATTTTTTTTGGGGGGGGTCATACGCAGCAGTGATTAAAGCTCATTCCTGGCTCTGGCTTGGGAGACAGAATTGAACCCCAGATTGGCCTGCATGCAAGGCCAATGCCGTACCCTCTAAACTATCTCTCCAGCAAATCTATACCCCCACCCCAATTTTTTCTAATTCTTGAGACAAACCGTTCTTTGTGATGCTTAGGCAACAACTGTGACAATGTTAGGAGGGAACTGCTAAGGTTTAAGAATGAGTCTGGGGGCTGGAGCAATAGCACAGCGGGTAGGGCGTTTGCCTTGCACGCGGCCAACCTGGGTTCGATTCCCAGCATCCCATATGGTCCCCTGAGCACTGCCAGGAGTAACTCCTGAGTGCAGAGCCAGGAGTAACCCTTGTGCATCACCAGGTGTGACCCAAAAACCAAAAAAAAAAAAAAAAAGGATGAGTCTGTGGGTCTGGAAAGAAGATAGTACAGAGGGTAGGACGCTAGCCTGGCACGCAGCCCAACCCAGGTTCAACCACCAACATCCTATATGGGGTCCCCTGAGCACTGCACAGAATGATTCCTGAGTGCAGAGCCAAAAGTGGTCCCTGAGCATTGTCGGGTATGGCCAAAAAGAGGAGGAAAAAAAAAAAAAGAAGAATGCATCTCTATCAGAAGTGTTTCTAATTGAACAAATGTAAGAAAATATGGTCTAATATTTACCCATATTGTATTATATCCTCAATTGAGCTAAGGGACTACCCAAATGCAAGGTATTCATACTGCTGTTCTGATGGTTTATAATGAATCTAATGCAGCATATACCCTCACTACTAAATACAATAGACTTATTTTTAATTCATTTTGAAACATAACAGTATAGTATATTGAATGTGAATACTAAATTTGAAAAGTACATATTTTAATTTTATTTTATATTTTATTGAACTTTGAATGTGAAAAGTACATATATATTTTTATCTTTGAATCTTATTCTCACTTTTGTTTGAGGAGAGGGTGTTGGGCCGCATCCAGTGGTACTTGTGAGTAAACTCCAGGTAGCACTGGTAGCACTGTCCTCCCGTTGTTCATTGATTTTCTCAAACGGGCACTAGTAACGTCTCCATTCTGAGATTTGCTGTTACTGTTCTTGGCATATCGAATACATCACAGGTACCTTGCCAGGCTTTGCCGTGCGGGCAGGATACAGGTTTACCTTGTATGTTCGTTCTCTCTGGCCCCTCTTATGCTCTCATTAGGCCATTCAGTTGTTTAAAAAAACAGAAGGATAGGAAACATTGGTGTTACTTAGAAAGGTCTGGGTTCCCATCTGCGTGTCTTCCAAGTAGAGAAATAATCATTCTCAGTTCACTTGAAGCCCGTGATAGCATTCCATTTTCTCCCTTCTCATAATCTCCATATATTTTTAGTACATATGTTTGTGTTTCCTGAACAGCTGGTAGTTGGGGCTGGAGTGATAGTACAAGAGTTAAGTTGCTTGAAATTACTTTGCGTATGTCCAGCCCAGATTAGTACCTGGCACTGCATGTGGTTTCCCTCGCCTCCCAGCACTACCAGGTGTAGGCCCTAAGCACCACTGGCTGTAGACCCTACCACCCAAAAACAACTGATAGTAGCCTACTACATTTTCCACTTGCTTTTTTGTTTAACGTTATCTTTGAGAGAAGTGGTGAGTGCCATGAATTTAATTTACTCTATATAGCTGAACATGGTTTCTAATTTTTACTAATGAACGTTTTTAAAAGCTGTCATGAGATACTCATCCCGTGTTATAAGAGTTTAATATAAAAGCTGCTGGCAACATAATTGTGGAAAAAAATATTCTATATACCTATCAGATGAGTTGCTGGTAGCAGAGTTTTTTAGTTGTTACCCTCTTTTTTATTTCACATCTTTTTTCTTTTTTATTTATTTATTTTCTTTTTGGGTCACTCCTGGCTCTACACTCAGGAATTAATCCTAGCAGTGCTCAGGGGACCCTGTGGGATGCCGGGTATTGAACCCGGGTTGGCCACATGCAAGGCAAATGCCCTACCCGCTGTACTATCACTCCAGCCCCATTTCACATCTTTTTTAAAGGATTCTTAGTGTGTGAAATATTTTTCAGCCAACAAAACAATGAAAATTGAGATTGGATTTGAATCCATCTTCATTCCCCTTAACACTGTAGCCAGATTGTTGCTTCTGTTTAATTAGGGCCTAGTATTAAAGAATTAAAGTTAGAGGTAGCATGACCAACATGTTGAGTCTTAGACCTAAGAATAAGCTATTTGCATGTCACAGTTTTGATTTTGCTTTATAGTGTATCACCTGTTTTTTTGGCAAGTGATGGCAATCTTTTCCATAAAATGAACTTTTTTTTTAATCATTGGAAAGCATTTTTCCAGAATATGGTTCTCCAGATGAATGTGGCAGTGAGTACAGTTTTAAAATTCCTACTTGTTGTAGAGAGTACAGTGGTCAAAACCTTGCATTGCAAGCAGCTGACTCAGCTTTAATCTCTGGCATAGCGTTTGGTTGACTAGCACCAGAAACCAAGAGTGATCGCTGAGTACAAAACCAGTAGTAAGCCCTAAGCATCACTAGATGTATCCCACTCTCCAATCCCCCCAGTTTTTTAAAAATAAAATTCCTGCTTGTTAAAAGGTACAATTAGATAATGCTTCTAAAGTACTTTATTAACCAGATTGGAAGTTTGTTATAATAAAAAAAGCTCAGGACCATAACTTTTCTCCCAGGATTAGTTTTTTAATGTATTTTGAGAATTTTATGATCTGAAAAACATCTATGAATCGAATTGAATTTTTTTGGTTTTGTTTTGGGGCCCCACCCCGGGGTCATTCTTGACACTGCATTCAGGAATTGCTCTTGGCAGTGCTCAGGGGACCACTATATATGAATATGGGATACTAGGGATCAGACCTGGGTCAGCTGCATGCAAGGTAAGCCATACTCTCTCCAGCCCCTATGAATTGAATTAAATTTAACTGAATAATAGTTTCCTGGAGAATGATAGTTATTCTCCAGAAAAATAATTTTTCGGGCTATTTCCTGGACTTAGGAACTTGCCTGACAATGGTGAATGTAGAGATTTGCTTCCTCGTTACCTAACAAGTTTCTGATGAGCATCTTCGCTGCAGCAGACACTGCACATATCTTAGACATTGTGTGTATGTGTGCTTATAAGGCATAGTGTCCTTCCCCATTCCCTTTTTAGTCCATTGCTTTTTTCTGTAGGTGAGGATATAGGCTTACTCTAAAGAATCGAAGAAACTTGGGTTGGCTCAGACATTACTAAAGAAGTCTAGATATTTATTTTAGCAAGCCATGTTACCTTTTTTGAAGGTGGGAGTCATATCTTACAGTGCTTGGGGATCACTTATGATGATGCTTGGAGGACTATATGTGATGTTGGTTATCAAACTGGGTCAGCCTGGTGCAAGGCAAGTGCCTTTATCTTTCATGCCCCAAAATTAGATAGATACTTAAAACATGTTAAGTACACTGAACTGTCTGGCATATCGAATATGTCACGGGGAGCTTGCCAGGCTCTGCCGTGCAGGCGAGATACTCTCGGTAGCTTGCTGGGCTCTCCGAGAGGGGCGGAGGAATCGAACTCGGGTCGGCCATACACAGTAACAACAAAGTCTCCAATGGAGACGTTACTGGGCCCGCTCGAGCAAATCGACGAACAACGGGAGGGCCTTTACCTTACCTACCTTAAGTACACTGAAGTGACTCTTCCTTATTAACTACTTTTTGACTATTATTGTGGACATGTACAAGAAGGGAAGTAGTAGTAGCTAGTGTATGATACGCTGATGTCTATAGCCATACCGCCCTGAACACGCCCAGTCCTATCAGTGTTATGCTGATGTATTAAAAAATTCTTTTACCACACCCTGGCACTGTCATAGGCAGGACAAAGGCTTCAATACAATTGGAAAGCAAGTTACTGTTGGATTTTATCTATGTTTAGGATAACTAGAATTTGTGTTGAGCCATTTAGGTGATAATATATCATTTGAGAAATCTAAGAAATCATATTTGCTTTGGGATAAAAAAATTAAAGATTGAAAAAAATAAAAGAATTTTAAAGATCAGTCCTTAATAGTCCTGTAACGTATGCCTCCTTTATACTCTGATGTATAGCTCTACAGTTTTTTCTTTTCACATAATTTGTTCCTCTAAAGTCAGTATTTATTTGGATACTGCCATTGCTTAACTAACTTTCATTTAAGTAATAGTAAAGAATCATTTGCGGTTTTTTACACTAGTTAGTATTATTGTCATCATTATCACTATCTTTAGTTAGGGACCATATCCAGAGGGCTCTGGAGCTACTCCTAGTGTGACTGAATAGTCTGGGCATACAGTGCTGGGTATCAAAACTGAGCCACCAGCATGCAAAGTTTTGAGCTGTCATTCCTCTTGTTCCTCCTACATTTTTTTTCTTTTTTGGGTCACACCCACGACGCACAGGGTTTACCCTGATTTTGCACTCAGAATTACTCCTGGAGATGCTCGGGGGACCATATGGGATGCTGGGAATCGAACCCAGGTTGGCCACATGCAAGGCAAACGCCCTCCCCACTGTACTATCGCTCCAGTCCTCATTTACATTTTTTGATTTGGGAAAGTCTTAGATTTTAGTCATATTTTATACTGAATTTAATATTATGAACTATGAATAATGATGGTTTCTTAAACATAGACTGTCTCAGGATACCACTTGACCTCTTTAAGAGTAATTTATTTAAGTGTGTTTTAAAGGATTACATTTAAGAGTAGATTCTCTTTCTTGAATTTCTCTTTAGCTCTGATACAACACCCCTTTTAAATGGATCAAGCCAAGATAGAATGTTTGAAACAATGGCAATTGAGATTGAACAACTTTTGGCAAGGGTAAGTGCCTTCTCTTAAATGGCTATTTTGCTAGGAATTGTATACTTATCATGATACCCATTATATATTTTTAAATGTTTTTAGCAAATCATTTCATTTCATTTCATCATCCTGTTATTCGTCGATTGCCTCGAGCAGGCCCCAGTAACGTCTCTTTCATCCTAGCCCTGAGATTATATTCAAGGCTCTTTAGGAGAATGAGACCCATCATTGTTACTGGTATTTGGCATATTTGGTACGCCACGGGGAGTTTGCCAGACTCTGCCCTGTGGGCAGGCTACATTTAGCAAATCACCTTGATAAAAAAACAACTGTATACAGTTATTTATAATCTAGTTTCAGAAGTACAGTGTTCCCTTCACCAGTGTAATATTCATTATATCAATGAATACACGTTTACTGAAATTATCCATTCAAGATGCATGCTTCCATGGCATTGAATTTGATGACATCCATTTCCAAGTCTTGTGGCTTGGATAAATTGGGAGAAACACAGAATCTTTTTCTGCTCATATCTTGGTTCTTGTTGTTTTTGTTTATTTGTTTTTTCTTTTTGGTGTTTTATTTTTGCTACCAGCTAAAAGGACATACTGGCAAATAATTAACTTTTGTCTTTTTAGTGTTATCTAAAATATTTCTGTTGATCTTCCTTTTCTCTTTTTTAGCTCACAGGAGTAAATGATAAGATGGCAGAATATACCAACAATGCAGGTGTTCCTTCCTTGAATGCAGCACTGATGCACACGTTACAGCGGCACAGAGACATCCTGCAGGTAACATGTTGCACTTGTGATTTTATGTTACCATGGAAATTTGTGTGTATCCTAAATAGAATACGTTTAAGCTGTAATGATTCCATGATTTTAAAGGGAGGTATATAGTTCAGTGAAAGGTCATATTCAGTCCCTTGCAGCACTACACATCAATTGTGAGCCCCATGGCACGGCCGTTTGGGTGCTTCAGCCAAGAGCGACCTCTGATTTCTGGTCAGGACTTCAGTTATTCTGGTGATACGCATGACTATTATTGCCAGATTTCAAAACACAGACCCCCAAACACTGAAAACATGAAATCTAAGCTGTAGCCACTGAAGCTTGGTAATGTGCCTGTCAAGTTGACAGATTGCGGCAGGGTTGGGGAAGGGGGGGATGTGGTCAGAGTTTGGGGACGGGATGAAATATAGGAACACTGGTGGAAGGAAGTCGACACTGATGGTGTCAATAACTTTGCAAATCACAGTTCTTAAATTTTTTTAAATTGTGGAGCGATAGCACAGCGGTAGGGCGTTTGCCTTGCACGCAGCCAACATGGCCGACCCGAGTTCGATTCCTCCGCCCCTCTCGGAGAGCCCGGCAAGCTACCGAGAGTATCTCGCCTGCACGGCAGAGCCTGGCAAGCCACCCGTGATGTATTCGATATGCCAAACACAGTAACAACAAAATCTCCAATGGAGACGTTACTGGGCCTGCTCGAGCAAATCGATGATCAACGGGAAGGCCTTTACTTACTTACTATAGAAAAACTATGGAAGTTTGAAATAAGAAATAAAGCTTGGGAAAAATTAATACATTTTGGGTAACAAGGGACTTTCTAAGAAAAACCTAGTATCAGAAACTATAACATGACTAATTTATTACACAGAGAACTCATGTAAAGAAAAATCCAATAAGAAAATAAGCAAAAATCTTGAATTTCATTACAGAAAATGAGTGACTAAAATCACATTCCCAAAATATAAATAGATCAGTCAAAATACAAATGTTAGGTTTTACCTGTTAGATTAGAAAATGTATGGAAATAATTTGTAATGTAGAAAATAATGAAAATTTGTCATTACTGAAAACATAAATTGCTTAGCACTAGCAACATTTAATGATTTTACCCAGTGATTCTGCTAGGTATTTACTTTTCAGATATACTTTAACACATGCCCCTCCCATCCCCACCCCTCACTCTAGAGATCAAATTCAGCATCTAAGGCATGTAAGACGTTTGCATGCTGTACCACTGAACTCATCCCCATCTCTTCGTGAAAGAGATTTTAATAAAAATATATGTACAAGAATGTTTATTGCAGCATTTCTTAACAGCAAAAAAAAAGAAAGAAAATTAAATAACCAAAAGGTTTATCAGTAGGGATTTTATTGTTTTGATGATAATAAAATTCTATAGTTATTAAAATGAGTTATTGCAATCAGGAAAGATTGCTGATATTCTGTATGTATAAAAATCATGTGGAGCAAAATATGATTTCTTTAGCATAAATGAAACAATAAATATGCTTTTATACACAAATACATTTTTTGGAAAGAAAATTCAAGAAAGTGATAGTAGTTTTGAGTTATAGGACAGGATGGTTTTTATTTTATGTAGGGTGCCGGGGATCAAACCCTAGGTCAGCTGCATGCAAGGCAGTTACCCTACCTTCTGTACTTTTGCTCTAGTCCCTATTATCTTTGTTTCTAACCAGTCAGTAGGGGTTCCCTAGTACATAGATTGTGTCAGTGTCTAGGGGGGGAGGAGGAAGCATAGTGTACAGGGTATTGATTGCAGTTCCTTAAACATGCAGGGCAGGTCTATGCTGAGCTAAACAAATTCTTTTATATATTTTTCTGAACTAAATGAACATTCCTTAATTTTTAAAAAATCTGGTAGTAATGAGGCCTGAGCAGTAGTAGTACAGTGGGTAGGGCATTTGCCTTGCACGCAGCTGACCCAGTTTGGGCCCAAGTACCCCGTACGATACCCTGAGCCACCCGTAGTGATCTATGAGCACTGAGCACCACCAAGTGTGACCCAAAAACAAAATGTGATAGTACCAAAAAAAACGCTTAAAGACCACTTTTTGTACTTTTCATGTTTTGTTTGTCATTTGTGGGCATAAAAGTTAAATTTCTTACCTTTTTTCCTTTATAGTTCTACCCCATAAGATTAGACTAAGATACATAAGATGGTGATTTAATGGCACTGTCCTTCTATTCTAGCACTGAATTGTTTTGATTTCATTCTAGCATCTTCAATTCTAGCACTGAATTGTTTTCATTTGAAGAAAGTTAATTCAGGAAGGTGATGATTATTTTTACTTCTTGGCAGTTTTTTCTTTGTTATTTCTTAAGAATTTTTGTATAGAAATGTAAAATATGATTATAACTAGTTCAGTAAGTTGATAGTGTATAATTAGCGAATGTTAAATCTTGATACTGGCTTATTACAGGATTACACACATGAATTCCATAAAACCAAAGCAAACTTTATGGCAATACGGGAACGAGAGAACCTCATGGGATCTGTACGAAAGGATATTGAGTAAGTCACCTTTTATCATATTTTGTAGAATGTTCATTGAGGTTTAGGCTTTGAGTAATTAACTAGTAGAACATTGATTTGGATTTCAAGATTTCTCTTCCTGTTTCACAATGTTTAAACATTGCTGCTGCAATTTAGCCCTAATCTGCTTTTCTGGTCTTATCTCCAGCTTCTAGAATTATCATGGGCACCTGCCAACACCAATTTTCCTGTCTCGACTCAAAATCTAGTTGAGATAACAACTCAAAGTTTCTCACACTTATTTGACCCTACTTTTCGGGAGGTGGGGGAGAGGGGAAAATCCCCTTTTCAGACAAAAAAAAATTGCTCAGTTCTTCACACTGGAAATCAACTTTCATTAAGGGAACAAACAGAAAGTGCCCTCCGTTGCACCTTCCCCCCATTATTCTAGCGTCCACCTTCTCCCCCCCCCAAAAAAAAAGCAGCAGTACCACCCACTTTAGGAAACACTTGAGAATTTCATAAGAATTTTCTCTGATCTTCAACCACCTACTTTTAGAGTTATAACATTGGGTCCCAGAGATAGCTGCAGGGGCTAGATTATATGTTTTACATGAAAACAGCCTAGGTTTGATCCCAGCACCACATAATTTCTCAAGCACTACTGAGAATAACCTCTCAGCCCTGAGCTAGGGTAGCTCATAAGCACTGCAGGGTATGGCCCAAATTTATAGCATTCCACGTTTACCTCAAATTTATAACATCAATATTTTATTAAAGTTACCTCAAAATCATAACATTTCTAGTAACTGAAGATCTACCTGTTGGCCCTCTTGATTAACACCTACTCCTACTCTCTCCCTTGTCCCAATAATTATATATTCTTTCAGATAGCTATCAGTATAGCCTTCCCCGAAATCTGAAAATCCTTGGTTCCAGATTCTAGATAAATCCTTAGCTTTATGGCAAATTATTTAAGGATTTTCAACAATTTATACTGATCTCAAGCCATGGTATATTTCTATAGAGCCCACACCCAGTGGTGATCAGGCCACCACCAGGCTAAGGGTTTATCTAGAATCAGCACTGTGAGTGTGGTCTTGATTTCAGTGCTGGGGAACAAATTTAGGCCTCACATATGCTAAGTGGTTCCTCTACCATTTGAACTATTTCCCAGCCCTCACTCAGTTATTTTAAAAATTTGTTCTTCTATCTCTTTACCCAGATTTCAGGAATATATTTTAACATTTTTTTTGTACAATTTTGAAATACTTTTTTACAGCCAAGCATAACCAATAAGCGTAAATCTACTTGGCATCTAATAAAAAATGAAAACTTTTTACTTCTGGATTATTTATTTAAAAATAATGAATAAGGACCGGAGCGATAGTGTAGTGGGTAGGATGTTTGCCTTGCACACAGCCAACCAGATTTGGTCTTAGGCAACCGCATATCGTCCTCTGAGTCTGCCAGGAATGATCCCTGAGCACAGAGCCACTTGTAAACCCTGAGCACCACCAGATGATGTCCCAAAACAAACCAAAAAATAAATATATATCATTATTTTAAGAATATTGGTAGTAGTAAAAGGAAAATGCTTGTTGTTTCACTTGCTCCACATTTCACTTGTTACACACATATAACAAACTAGTCTCTGTTGCCAGTAAGAAATTTTCTAGAAATTCTCTATGAAACAGTAGACAGTTTTAAAGTAGAAATAATTTAATATTCATTGCAACAGTTGGAGTTTATTTTGAGGGGGAGTGTCCAAAATGAGCCCAGGGTCATCCAAGCCATAAAAGTTGTTTAGTTGTTTCCACCTGCAGAAATTATCTTGGAAAATCAATATTTATTAATTTATATTTTTAATTTTAAGCACATGTACTTTGTGTAAAAGAGTTTTACAAAAAGAATATTTTTAGTTGCCTGTATTTTTAGCTCTAAAGACATTTTTAAGTCTTTCACTTAGTAACTGTTTACATGTAGTCTGTTTACAGGTGTTTTAAGAAATACATTATGAACCAGTTTAGAAGATAGCTTTTATGTCTAGACATTTAGCTTACTCACAGTTTGTGGGAATTACAAAAAAAAAAACCCACAAAAATAATTTTCTGAATGATGATCAGAAAACAAACATGGTCATCCATTTACTGCACTATTTCCTGATACTAATCATGGGTAAATTGGTAATAAGATTGTTAGTCACAGAAGATAGAAGTGAAATACCAGGGACCAGAGAGGTAGTACAGGATTTTAGGTACTTCCTTTGTATGCTGCCACTTCTGGTTTGATTCTTATATTGCATATGGTCTCTCTAGTACCACCAGAAATTATTCTTGAAAACAACCAGGAATAAAGCCTGAACACCAGTGAGTGTGACCCAAAAACAAAAGAAGAAAAGAGTAGAAAGATCAATTTGATTTTTTCGGATTTTTAATTTAGGTATTAGACGTCAGTAAGCACTTATTCAAACATATATTATGATTGAGTGGGAATGTAGCATTGTGACAATTTAATAGGTTTTTGGAAACATTTTTTCATATATTTTTACTAGTTTCATATAATAGAAGAAATTTTTGTCCCATTTTATAAAAACTACATTTTTTGATACCTTGGTAATGAGCTACCTAAGGTAATATCTAAGATTAAATAATACATTATTTAGGATAGCTTTAAATCCAAACATTTATCTTGCAGGTTTAATTTGGTTTTAATTATACTGCTTTTCTTGATACATTCTTTCCTGCTGTGATTTGCACATCATTCCAGCAGCTTCTTTTCTCATTGCAGTATGTGTGCAGTTGTATTTTTAAAATTATTTCCAATATTTTGAGAATAGAAACAAATTAATGTCATCAAAATGGCAGTACTCCCCAAAGCATTATCAGATTCAATGCAGTCCCTATAAAGACACGCATGATATTTTTCAAAGACTAGGCCACACACTTCTAAATTCATATGGAACTGTAACACATCCCTCTCCTGCCACCCATACCCAAAGAAATTTCTGATAAAAAGAAGATGAGAGGCATCACTTTTCCCAACTGCAATTTGTACTACAAAGAGAGTAATTAAAACAACAGTAATGGAATAAAAACAGACCCTCAGGTATAGGGTTGGTTAGTCTTCAGTAAGAGAGAAAAAATATATGAAAAGGAGCACTGAAAGCCTCTTCAACAAGTGGTCTTAACAAAACTGGTCAACCACATGCATAAAATGAAAGTCAGATTTCTTTGTAATGCCATGCATGAAAGTCAAACCAAAATGGATTGAAGACCTTAGTATCAAGCCTGACTCCATAAGGTACATATTGGCAGAACTTGGCAGAACTCTCCATGACATTGAAGCTAGAGGCATCTTTAAGGGTGATATGTCACTGACCAAGCAAGTGAAAGCAATGATAAACAAATAGGACTACATTAAATTAAAAAGCTTCTGCACCTCAAAGGAAAAAAAAGACCAAAATACAAAGCCCACAGACTGAGAGAAATTTGCTCACCCACCACTCATCTGATAAAGAATTAATATTAAAGATATAAAAAGCACTGGTAGAACTTTGCAAGAAAAAAAAAACTCCCCAATGGGGAGAAGAAATGAACAGAAACTTTCTCAAAGAGGAAGTATAAATGGCCAAAATGTACATGAAAAAAATGCTCTCTACCGCTAATCATCAGGGAAGTGCAAATCAAAACAATAAGATACTCTTTCACAACAAAGAGACTGGCACTTATCACAAAGGCGTCTTGACATGATTGTTGACACAGCTGCCAAAAAGCTTCAGCCTTTTTGGAAAACAGTGTGAAAATTCCTCAAAAAAAACTAAAAATTGAGCTTCCATATGATGCAGCACTCCTACTCCTGAGAGTATAACCCTGGATTCCAAAATTACAAGGCAGAAAATACTTCTGCAGTCCTATGTCTGCACTCCTATGTTCATTGCAGCACTATTAACTATAGCCAAAATCTGGAACCAACCCAAGTGCCCAAGAACAGATAACTAGATAGAGAACCTATGGTACATCTACACAATGAAATACTATGTGACCAGTAGAAAAGATGAAGTGATGAAATTTGCTGCTACATGGAAGGATCTGGAGAGTGTCATGTAGAATGAAATGAATTAGAAGGATGACAGAATGATCACACTGATTTGCGGGATGTAAAGAAACATAGTAGGGGAATATTTAATTCCCAAAGACAATAGAAACAAAGGGCAGGAAAACTGTTCTACTAGGAAACTTTCCATAGTGGGAGAAGAGGATAGGACAGGGAAGGGACCACGATGACAACAATAGAGGGAAGTGGTCAGTTGACAAGAACTGGTGCTGAAAGGAGTAATGTGCATGGTACCCTCTCAATAGTATTGTAAGTCACAGTGCCTAAGAGGAAAAAAAAATGAGGGACCAGAGTAATAGTATAGTAGGTAGAGTGTTTGCTTTGTACAGCAAAAGAGTAAGGGACCAGAGTGATAATATAACAGAGTGTTTGCTTTGCACACAGCTGACCCCCACCCCCACCCCCACCCCTTATGGTCCCCTGAGAACTGCCAGGAGTGATCTCTAAGTGCAGAGCAAGGAGTCAATCCTGAGCACCGCTGGGTTGGCCCAAAACCAAAACAAAAAAGAAGTTATGGTATAAACCCCCACTGGAAAAAAAACTAAGAAATTAAAAAGTCTTGTGTCTGAGCGGGTAGGCCGCTTGCCTTGTATGCGGCCAATACAGGTTTAATCCCTGGCATCCCCTATGTCTCAGGGGAGCCCCATCAGGAGTGATCCTGAATGCAGAGTCAGAAATAAGTAAGCTCTGAGCACTGCCAGGTGTCATTCCCCTCCCCCCCAAAAAAAAGTTACGAAGCCTTGCTTTTTGCTGCAACATGGATGGAACTGAAGAGCTAAGCAAAATAAATCTTGGTATCTTAATAAAAATTGAAAAGAAAGGAAAAAAAGAAAGAAACAGAGCAAGGAAATAATGTTTAATGAAAACAAACTCTAGACTTTAACATATTTGGGCGACCTAAAAGGGCAAGGATAGAGCAGTCCTATTGTGGAAGGATTTTGGCACTTTAGTGGTACATGTGCAGTGGTAATATTGTGCTCCTCAAACATACAGATTTTATATATTCTGTTACATCAGTATAGTAAAGATTTTTTTTTAATGTTGGGGATAATAGAAAAAGAGAAAATTAGATTTTCTGTTTGTTAAGAATGTTGACGCAAAATAAAATGTATGCTTGACTTGACCTGGATTTAATCCCATTGAATGTCAAAAAAAAATAAAGTTGAATTATTTTAGTGAAAAACTAATGAATTCTTAGCCTAAATAGGTATTAAGGGCCAGAAAAATAGTAAAAAGGTCAAGTAAATCACTCGCCTTGTGTGCAGCTGATCCCAGTTCAATCCCTCACACTGTATATGGTCCCTGTACATGATCTGAATACGATCACCAGGCCAGGAGTGATCCCTGAGTATAGAGCTAGGAGTAAGCCCTGAGCACTGCTTGGTGTGCCCCCCACAAAAACAACCCCAAAAGCAATTATATCTATTTCAAATAAACATGATATCATGTTTATTTAAAATAGATACCATTTTTAGAAGCAGTGAAAAGGATTATATATTTTAACTATTCATTTAAAATTATGGAGAGGCTTAGTTTGTCCACTGTGTATATTAACTTAAAGTTTATTTCCTCTTTTGGTCTAGGTCTTATAAAAGTGGGTCTGGAATAAACAACAGAAGAACTGAATTATTTTTGAAAGAACATGACCACCTACGAAAGTAGGTATTGCAGAATATATGCATACTCTCTGATTTCCCTTATGTAAAAGAGTTTTTGGTATTTACAGACCAAAGTGCATTAATACTGATGTGTTTAACTTTTCTAATGATTCTATGAAGTAAAATTGGAATTACAACTATTACTATAATCCAGTCATAAATATCTTTCTTAGTCAAGATATGCTATCAAATATCTATAACCTGCATTCTTCTTATGCTAATTTGTTACCAGTAAATGTCTTTTATTGCTATAAAATTTTTTTTCTTTATCAGATTTGTTGCTCTATTACTGTCCACTTTAGGGTGTTAATAATGATAGTGATAATGCTATAATGAATTATATTTGAAAAACCTATTACCACTTGTATATAAAGATAATTGGCTGTACATCAGATCCAAAGAAAATACCGTTTTCCAAAAGAGATTGCAAAATTACTTATTTCTGTGAGCTTAGCCTCGAAGGCGCTTAAGCTAGTATTCATAGTAAAAGCATCAGAAATTTCTTTTATATTCACAGTTGAATATCATTAATTAGTCATGTTCATATTAGCTTACCATATTATTAGTTTTCCCTTAAATGTCATAATTCTGGGGCCAGAGAGATAGGTCTGTGGGTATCATGTTTGCCTTGCATGTGACTTACCCAGGTATGATCCTTTGGGCACCGTATACCCTGAACACTACCAGGAGTGATTACTGACCACAGAGTCAGGAGGAAGCCCTGAGTACAGTCCACTGTGGCCCAGAAAACAAAAATTAAAAAATGAATATCACCACTTTAAGTATAAGCTGCTGAAATCATAACATAGAAAGGTCAAGATCTTTTCAAAAATCCAGTTGCTTCGAGTATTGAATGTTACTCATGGGCCAGAGAGATAATACAGTGGGTAAGGTTCTTGCCTCCCAGTGGCTCAATCTTGATCTTGGCTCAATCCCTGTCATCCTGTATTGTTCCATGAGTACCTCCAGACATGACTCTGAGCACAGAGTCAGGAGTAAGCTCTGAGCACTGCTACGTGTGACTCAGGCACCACCACCCTTCCCCAAAAGAAGTTACTTGTGTTTTTTTTTCTTTTTTCTTTTTCGGTGGGTGTATGGAGGATCGGCTTTTTGGGCATACCCGCAGTGCTCAGGAGTTACTTCTGACTCTTAAACATAGGATTTACTCTTTGGGGTGCTCAGAGGATCATATGAGATGCTGGGAATAGAACCTAGGTTGGCTGTGTGCAAGACAAGCACCTAAATTGTCCTTCAGGCCCTCTTGGTGTTTCCTAATGTATTAAGTAGTACTAGTTGGCACAAGGGGGCAGTATTCCTTAGATAAATGTTTATGGTTATTCATAACTTAGGTGAATACTTTGGTATTTAATAAAGATCACCTAAAAATAATTTAGCCTTATATGCTAAACTATATTAATGAATTTGGGGTATATCGAACAAGGCATAGCATTCACAAGTAGCACAAAGTAAAGATTAGATTTATCAATGTTTCCATAATTACAGCCTCAGAAGTAAACAAAAATACAGTATTTAATTACTTAAAAAGGAATGATTTTATGGTGAAAATAATCTACCTGAGTACTTGCATGAATGTATATATTTTTATTTCATTGTTTCAAAGAGTGTTAATATAAATTTTATATGAAAACTTCCTTAATTGCATTTATTTAATTTTAAAACTTTTCTGGTTTTATGGGGCTGGAGTGATAGCACAGTGGGTTGGGCATTTGCCTTGCACGCAGCTGACCCGGGTTCTATTCCCAGGATCCCATATGGTCCCCTGAGCACTGCCAGGAGTGATTCCTGAGTGCAAAGCCAGGAGTAACCCCTGAGCATCGCCAGGTATGACCCAAAAAGCAAAAACAAAAAAAACCTTTCTGGTTTTAATACTTAATACTCATTTTAACATGAAAATAGTGAAGTAATATTGGGAAACAAAACAAATAACTTGTTTAGGTTTGTAAAAATAAGGAGAGCATTGGAAGGTCTTCTCTTCTTTTTTCATCAAAGTATAAGTCTCAGAAATAGGCAAGGTAAAGTTGAATAAATTGATTCTCATGATAGGGCCAGAGCAATAGCACAGCGGTTAGGGCATTTGCCTTGCATGTGGCCAACCTAGGTTCAATCCCCAGCTTCCCATATGGTCCTCTGTGCATCATCAGGTGTGGTCCAAATAACCGTCCCCAATAAATTAAAGATTGATTCTCATAAGTATGGAGAATTCTTGAGACCAAAAACCAGAGCTTAATCTTTGACATTAAAAAACAGCATCCAAATAAATTTTGGAGAATCTGCTTTTGTATAAATTACAAATACTTTTTAGATAATAAAATTATGGAAAATTCATATAAAATATGACTTTTTTCACAACGCTAATTGGTTTTTTAGGAATATATTAATTTTGATGTTTTGTGAATATTTTTAAATTACCAGTGACTCAGTTAACTACTTTGATTTTTGTATAATGGGATCAGACTTTTTTATGACTTTTTAAGATTTTTATTTATATCTCGTATTATTTTTTCATACTAATATAAATTTCTACAGCTTGCTTTTAAAAATACATATTTTTGCCTGAAAAAGTAAAAAACCTTTAGTAAATGAATACCAGACATAGAAAAATCACTCATAATGCACTATTTAGACTGGTTCCCCTTAATACATTTTTTTCTAAAAATGAGAGTTTGTAACAGTTTATCTTAACAAAAAATAACGAAAGACAATTTCTATTTCTATATGATGGATAAAGTCATTTTTTTGTTTGTTGGTTTTGGTTTTGGTTTTTGGACCACACTTTGTGGTACTCAGGGGTCACTACTAGTGGTTCTCAGGGAACCACTTGGGGTGCTGGGGATTTGCATTACATCCAGGTTTGACACATGTAATGCAAATGCCTTAGCCACTGTACTTTCTCTTCAGCCCCTCATTTTCATTTTTGACTTCTCTTTCCCTGAGAAGTCAGTGCCAGTCAGTAGTAAATTGAATCCGTGTTCAGTTGTACCTATTTGGTTTTCACTAGGTTGTGGCTCTTTGATTGCTGTTTAGATTCTTTTATCTTCCTTTAGTCCCTTTTGACTATTCCCTAGTAGTTTTCTTTTAAAAGATGTGTCTGAGTTAAATTTTATGTGTTAGGTTTTTTCTTTTGCCCTTATCATCTTGTCTTTCTTTGTAGGGACCTTCCCCCATGGTGCTAGCGTTGAAAGGTGTGGAATCCCCAGTTGGGAGTCTCTTGGCGATAAGGGCCTGATGGTGGGAACTGGTGTCAGCAGCATGTTACTCAGGGCCTGGCTCATGCTGGGCATTTGTTCCTCCCTTGAGCTACCTCCCCAGCCCCTCTCAGTATTTTTTTTTTTGTTGGGGTGGGGGAGTTGGTCACACCTGAAGATACTCCTGGCTCAGCACCAAGGGATTACTCCTGGCATTGCTCAGGGACCATATTGGATGTCGGGGATTGAACCCAGTTCGACCATGTTGAAGGCAAACTCCCTACGCACTGTACTATCTCTCTGGCACCTTAGATATTTATTTTTAAAAGACTGTGAGACTGACTGATTGTGTTGCTGCTCTTTTGAAAGATGGAAAAAGAACAGAGAGGGTATAAAAGCTTTGATTACCTAAAGCTTAAAAAGCTATTATTTTTTCAGTCATATCCTCTGTAATGTGCTGGGTTTGTTCTTTTTCTCAAGAAAAATCTTGTTGTTTTGAATAAAACATGTCTTTCACATTTATCTTAATGAAGTTGGTGAATGTAGACATTTCAGTGGTCATGAAAAATTTGAATTTGGAGCTAAGTGTACACAGATTGCGAGTGCCTAACCACTTCCCGGTAATCCTAAGTGAGCCACTAGAGCAGGACTGCAGCCTCATCTTCTCATCTGTAATTAAGCCACAGAAATCTTTAGCTCCAACTTGGGACCATCTTGTCTTCTTCTTTTTTTTTTTTTTTCATTTTTATTAGAAACACCATGAGGTACAGTTGTAGACTTAAAAATTTTTGTGCTTGGGTTTCAGTTATACAGTGATCGAGTACCCATCCCTCCACCAGTGCCCATTCTCCACCACCACGGATCCCAGTATCCCTCCCACCCCCCATCCCCCCATCCCACCCTTCCTCTGTGGCAGGGCATTCCCTTTTGTGTTCTCTCTCTCTCTCTCTCTCTCTCTCTCTCTCTCTCTCTCTCTCTCTCTCTCTCTCTCTCTCTCTCTCTCCCTCCCCTTTTGAGTGCTGTGGTTTGCAAAAGAGGCATTGAGTGTCAATCATGTTCAGTCTATAGTTTACTTTCAGCATGCATCTCCCATCCTGGGAGGATCCTCCCAACACCGTTTACTTGGTGATCCCTTCTCTGTCTGAGCTGCCTTTTCCCCTAGCATGTACGGCTGGCCTTCAAGCCATGGAGTGAACCTCCTGGTACTTATCTCGACTATTCTTGGGTGTTAGTCTCCTATTTTGTTACTTTATATTCCACAGATGAATGCAGTCTTTCTGTATCTGTCCCTCTCTTTCTGACTCATTTCACTTAGCATGATACTTTCCATGTAGTACCACTTGTATGTAAATTTCATGACTTCATCGTTTCTAACAGCTGCATAGTACTCCATTGTGTAAATGTACCAAAGTCTCTTTAACCAGTCATCTGTTCTCGGGCACTCAGGTTTTTTCCAGATTTTGGCTATTGTGCAGCAGTGAACATAGAAGTGCAGGTGTCATTTCGACTATACTTTTTTGCCTCTCCGAGATGTATTCCCAGGAGTGGTATTGCTGGGTCAAATGGGAGCTCAATTTTCTATTTTTTTCCATCTTGTGTTTTATATATTTTTTTCTTACAACTTGCCCTCCTACCCAGTTATCCCTGAAAACACTTACAGCCTTTGGTCTTTTCTGTATTTCTTTTTGCTATACCCTTGGAAAGCGCCATTTGATTCACAGTTTTATTACGGTATCTGCAGGCCTAATACCGATAGAGTGATACTCAGCTGGGTCAGATGATTTGAAACAAGAG